CTCACAGCGGTACACAGTAGCTCAGGCCAGCTGCCGGCCGCTCACACTGTCTGCCAGCCACTCACGGTAGCTTACGGCAGCCCACTGCAGCCTACGCCGTCACCGGCAACTCACGGCAGCCCAGCTCTAGGTCGAGCTGTTGTTCACCATCTTAGTTGTAGAGGGCGCAGTGTCACTGGCCCATGTGGGATATGAACAGGTGGCTCGGCTGCTCAGAGCTCATGCTCCCAAGCCAGCTCTTAACCAACGAGCTGCTCGGCTGGCCACAGAATTGATATGTCTCAGTATAAACTACAGTGGAATCTTTTTGGGATGAAGAGATATTTACCTTGTGTGTTTGATAAATGATGATTGCATTATCAGCTAATGTTTCCACCACATGAAAGTTTTCTATAGTTGCTGAAATGAAGAGAAAATATTAGTAGACAAAAAGACACATTACCTTTTCCTAGAATACGATTAATTCACTTATACTGAAAGTCAGTTACAAATGAACATTATGGTAAAATGAACAGGATTCTGCCCCACCTGGGCTAAGTTCAAATGGAAGGTAGTTGACATCTAGTATTAGGGCTATAGATGGTGGCTGTGAGACCTGATCATCAGGAAATCTCATTTTCTTTAGTCTAATGTCTAGCTTCCACGGCAGGAAAGCAATTCTAATCACCACTGCATTACTCAGGCACAAATTACTCCCTAACATTATGACCCCTCTCTATAGCTTCTAATTTAGCTTCTATAGCTTCTATAGCTTCTAAAGCTGAATAAACTGTTCTATCTAGGCTTAGGTGACTGTATTTGTGGGGAAAGAATGTCAAACTGCCACTGATAAACATCTTATGATGTTCAGAAGTATCTATTTATGAAATTTGATGCCTAAGGGAAACAATCCCTCGACCCCCAAAGAATAACTCTAAACAAATCACAGCAGAATTCATCTAGGATTTACCATGGAAACAAACTGTCTAAGAAAAGAGTAGATGATAAAACAGAAGCTTTTAATTTTAGTCCTGACTTTTCCATTAACTAGTTCTGTGGCCTTTGACAAGTCACTTGGCTCACCTGCATTTCATTTTATTACCTACCTATGCAGCATGGTTGAGGTATTGGATCAAATGCTATAACATACTGAGAAGCATTTTATACAGTGAAAAGTTCTACTTAAATGTAATGTATTATCAGTGCCTTAAATGATTTTCCAGTTATTTTCTACACTAACTTTGTAAATTATAGATCAGATGCAGAAAACCAGGTTGGATTTGATATTAAATTCTAAATTTGATATTAAATTCTAAATAATAATTATATTAAAATATATTAATAATGACAGCTTACTTTCCCAATCATTGCGAACATCAACATTCCAGAAGTAATTGCAGACCTCGTGTCCTGTAACACCTTTAACTGCATGGGTAGCTTTCAAAGGATCCAAGACAATCCCGTTTTCTTCTACTTCTCTTCTATATACCTACATAGGATATATTTAAAAACCTGTTTAAAAAATAAAAATCAAACTCCTAAAGTATAAGCCTGAAAGCATGTTTTTAAATTTAATGGCTTTTTAGGGTTTTATTTATGAAAATCTCTTTATGGAACATAAATATTCTGACAAAAGAATATTTCTAAATTTTCTAATTATTAACACATACAACACATAAAAATATCTAAAACTACAAATCTGAAGTAAATTTCAACTATGTAAAATATGCATGTGTGATGATGAATGACTAATTACTATGAGTTGTTAAAAAAGATAAGTCAATTTAAATCAGGCACTATTTACTGAACGTTCTCTAAGACCGTTCAACATTGCTAAGAAAGCCAAATAATTTAAATCAGGCACTATTTACTGAACGTTCTCCAAGACTGTTCAACATGGCTAAGGCAAATAAGTCTGATTAAAACATAATCTCCTTAGGGAAACTGATTTCAGGCAGTTTTGTTTAATGATGTATCCTTTGCATCTAGAACAGTATCTGAAACACAGTAGGCAATTATTTGTTGAGTTAACGACTGAAAGCTAAAATGGAATAAAGATCTATGCTCTCTTGCTTTAAATACTGAGGTTGTATACCTAAAGTGCTGATTAAAATTACTCATTTCAAAAATATAGAGGATTTGCTATTTTAGAGAGCTCTGTAATATTAAAGTTCTTTTCACAAATGAATGAACATGTTATCACAGGGAGAATCAGTTCTCAATTTATCGAGTGCCTATGGGTCCAGATACGGTTAGGCATTTAACATATAGTTTCTCTTTTACAATCTCTCTCACCAAACTCTTTTCCCCACTTGCCTATTTATTTGTTAATGGGCCTGCCATTTTCCTAGCTACCTAACTGGAACTCTGTAGATTTCTGATCCATTCTCTCACACTTCATCACCTGGTACCTGACGCTCTCAGGTGGTTTTCTTGGTCTTTAGTTTCTTCCCTATCATCTTAATCTTCGGAAAATGTTACTTTGCTACAAATGATAGACTGTTCTCTTTAGTGAGCTATTTAATTAATTAATTATTAATTAATTTATTTTTAAAAGATTTTATTGGGGAATTGGGGGAAGGGGAACATACAAGTTGCTGTTGTTTTGTTCTTTAGTCTAGTTGTGGAGGATGTGGCTTCACTGGCCCAAGCTGGCACCATCATTGCGTTCTTCCCGGGTGAGGCATATCAGTCGCCGGCTTCTGGACAGCTGCTCACGGCAGCTGCTGGCCGCTCACACTGGCTGCTGGCTACACACAGTAGCTTATAGTAGCCCACTGCAGCAGGGGACTGCAGCCCACGCCGTCGCCGGCGACCCACGGCAGCCCAGCTCCAGGTCGAGCTGTTGTTCAGCATCTTAGCTGTAGAGGGCAGTGTCACTGGCCCTTATATGTGGGATCCGAACCGGGGCCTTCTGGCATCCCAAGCCAGTTCTTAACCTACGCGCCCTTCGGCTGGCCCTTAGTGAGCTATTTTATACTCCCCATAATCCAGCCCCAAGCTCTCTCTAATGTTGTGGGCCGCAGAAGCACTTATTCCCTCTCCTCATTCCACATGGAGGGACTTTACTTAGATTATCACTCCTGGTTTCTCTTAACCCCCTCACTTCCTGGAACCTCCCTAGGTGGGAAACAGTAGCTTATCTGAATGGTGAGTACAGAGGGAGGACTAGGCAGGCTTGGCTCAACACCTTCTTTTGCAGAGAGCATGCATCCTGGTCTGCTTTTGGGGCTTGCTCTTGTGGGGAAGGCTTGAATTATCCAGCTATGTCCAAAACATTACGTTTAGAGATAACATATTAGCTGAAGTAACATATTAGCAAGACCTTGTGGCAGCTGGTCTCTATGTAATCCAATCAGCTTATTAGAATTATAACTAACATTTGGTATCTATTTGCCTGTTCCCTCTTCTTTCTTTCTTTTTTTTTTTTAATTGGGGAATTAGGGGGATGGGAACAGCGCTGGGGAATTGGGGGAAGGGGAACAGACAAGTTGCTGTCGTTTTGTTCTTCAGTCTAGTTGTGGAGGAC